GTAGATAAATAAAATCATGAATTGTTATTACTGTCATTGAAAAAAAGAGAAGGTTATCTCTCTATCTATATATGTGTTAAGAGACTTAGATAGTATAGTAAAATCTCCTGCCTTGGCTACAACAACAAAAATGGTAAAAGTCTCTATTGAAAGGTGGTTGAATTGGATGGGCTTCCAACTTGTAACGCTTTCAAATAATCCTTCTCTGCGTTTTCCACTCTGCTCTCGAACATTTTCCATTCCACATGACATCTATCCCTCACCTGCAAACACACACATAATTTATAGTAATTAAGATCATATGGTGGACCCATCTTGTTGCTTGCTTGACAAGGTTTTGTTCTAGAGAACCCAAGAAAAAGACAAGACTGAGCTTTCTTACCCCTTGCCATGGCGTTTTCCCGTTATCTGCCTTTCCCTAATCGCAAGAAATGGAAGGAGAGAGAGAGTGAAACTTTTAACTGTTTTTGGAGAGGAGAAAGTGAAGAAGAGAAAAGGGTTTAGTGAACTAACCTGGCTGCCAAGGGAAGGGATAAATTGATGAACAATCCACTGAGAGTCTACTATTCCTATCTTCTCATGTGCAGGCTCCTTCATTTTCACATTATAGAAAATGGAATCAAACATGCAAGAACCTCTATATAAACACTATTCGCAACCTTTTGTGTACCTCAACACATCTTCTGAGTGCAAAGTCAAGACCCCAACCGTGAACCAAATCATTCTGTTTTCCGGTTCATGAATAGACAGGTGTAAGCTGGAGTCGGGAAAAAAGAAAATGCATCTTTACAAATCGAAAAAGAAGCCAATTAAGAGATAATTGTGACCTGGATCATATGCCACACGCAGCGCCACGCATCCTTTGAGAATACAGGAGCCATTATCTCCACGAATCTAATGGTTTTATGAAAAACACAGATTTAAGTTACTATGGTTAAGTACTGTGTAGAGATGTGAAACTTTGAGTTTTGATAGAGAGAGGTTATTAACATACGCGGCACATGGAGGCCTCGGAGGATGAGAGCACCATTCCAGTTTCTCATCTGATTCCCTGGTAAATTCAAGCCATGTATATAACATTTTGTAATGTAACAAAAAAAATCATCTTAGAGAAGACTTGATGTTGAGTGGTATATAAATACATCTTATGGACTTCACTCTCTTCTCTTCTTTTCGTGATCTGCCATGTAAACCCTTTCTCTGGGTCCAAACCTGGCTGGGAAATCTCAAGGCCGTGCTTCTTCACCATGTGTATGTATCTGCAACACCAAACATGGTTACAGAGTTGATTAGTCTCATGAAATATGGAAGTGAGAGTAAGAGAAACTTACTCTTCTGCGTCAAAGTTATCGACTCCAAGATCTTCATCCCATATGAATATATAATCGTATCGCACTACAATGTCAGGGTGCAAGAATCTCTTTGCATACCACCTTAAGTTCACCACATGAGTGTCAAGAAAGTCATACAACCAGAGGAAAAAAGGGGCTTAAGCAAATACATTGATACCATTTTGTCTGCGTCAGAACACTAATGTGTATGGCCTTCTTCGACCAATCAAACTCATCATTCCACTCGCTTGTTCGCCCATCGTAATGAAACAGAACAATGGTAAAGTTTTCTGAAAACTGTTTTTGAGAAGACAAAACATGATGAATTTACTGTTAAAGAAAAAACAGAAAACAAAAGGGGCATGAAGCAACCTTCTTAACACATGCATCTATATTGTATCTCTGATTATAACCGACTGTAAATGTTGCTAGATATCTCGGTTGCTTCTTCAAATCCTAAGGAAGCAGAGAAACATTTTAAAGCTAGTGTCACACTAGTGAAAACCAAGAATGAGATTGTGTTTTCAGCAACAACCTCTTGAGGGTCCCCCCACAATCTGCGCAAGTACAAATCTGATTCCGATGCAACAATACCGGGTGGCAATCTCTCAGCGCCTCGAGGATTTGAAGGTACCCATATCTGCAAAAATTGTGAATTACATTAGAGCATATTGGTTTTCTTCTTGAAAGATGCAACGAAATGTGTAAAGTTGTTAAAACAATTACACAAAACATGCCTTTGAGATATCAATGGACTTGTGAGGTGTTGCAAATTCTGAACCTCTATGTGAGACAGCAATGGAATGAAGAAGGGTTTTGGGGAGACTCGTCTACAAAATGGCAACAGATGGGTGAAAAATCTAT